GATCAGGGCCCTGATCGCCCCCCAACCCCACCTGCACCCCCCACTGGCCAACCGCCAGCGGCCCCTCCCAGCCCCCGCCCTGGACCTCTAGTTTACAATAGCCAAAACATGGAAGAAGCCTACGTACCCATTGATGGATGGATGCATGCATGGATAAAGAAAACATTACACACACACACACACACACACACACACACACACACACACATACACACTGGAATGTTACTCAGCCATAAAAAAGGAAACCCTGACATTTGCAACATGGATAAACCTTAAAGGCATTATGATAAGTGAAATCAGGCAGAGAAAGGCAAATACTGTATGATCTCACTGATATGTGGAATCTTCAAACAAAAAAACAAAAACCAAACTCATGTATACAGAGAACAGATAAGTGATTGTGTTTTGTTACTTTAAATATACCTTGTTTTATGTTTGCTTTTGAGAGTCTTTTCATATTTTACATAAGTATAAGACAAAATTCAACTTTAAAAAATCAATTCCTAAATATTGAAAGCAAAATAAAAAACAAAAGAACCAAAGTACACGTCCAGTAGTAGCAAAATCATAGAGCAATGATTCTGAGTGACTTTAATCACAGTAATTAGCCTACATATCCCTAGTAAGTATGCAAAAAAACTTTTAAACAGTTTTTATTAGCCGGTGGTATAGTGTTCATATTATCCTCCTGAGACTGAGATGTATACAGTGTGGGATAAAACAATGAGTAATCAGAATCAAGATGTTTCTCTTAGAAGAAAAAGATACAGGTGTAAGATCAAGAAGGCTAAGTTGCACTGGCCCTGTGTTTCAGTTGGTTGGAGCATTATCCCTTATACCAGTGGTCGGCAAACTCATTAGTCAACAGAGCCAAATATCAACAGTACGATTGAAATTTCTTTTGAGAGCCAAATTTTTTAAACTTAAACTATATAGGTAGGTACATTGTTATTAACTTCATTAGGGTACTCCTAAGCTGGCCTTTCCTTACGTCCTCAATCTGATTGAGGTACGTTCACTGAGGTCGACCCCTTCCAACTCTCCCATACACACTCATCTTGTATACTTGTTTCATCTATCTCCTTTTGTATATCCTCTCTATATGTCCAAACCATCTCAACATACCCAAAAAAATGTTTCATTTTATAATAATAAAGCCACCAACACAAAATAATTACAATTCTTAAATCGATGACAAAAATACCTGTAGGATTTGCAGCTGGTTGGAAAAATACAGGTAACTTTATGCTTCAAGTAGGTACTTTTGTCACCCGCACTCGATTTGCGGACGCGACTAGCACTAACCACTGCACACGAGACTGCTGACTAGCTGGCTCACTCAACTCATGAACGAATCGCGCGCCTCCCCCACGCTGCGTCGCCCAACCGACCAACACTCCCCATTTCTTCTAACGCCACTTCTTCAAAAGACTCGCCCAGGCCAAAAACCAACTTCTGCGCATGGGCCACGAAGTTTCAATAGCACTGTACGTGCGCGCCCGCACGTGGTATTTTGTGGAAGAGCCACACTCAAGGGGCCGAGAGCCACATGTGGCTCGCAAGCCGCGGTTTGCAGACCACTGCCATATACCAAAAGGTTGCCGATTCAATTCCTGGTCAGGGCACATACCTAGGTTGTGGGTTCCATCCCCCACATCAGGGCACGCACAGGGGGCAACCAATAGATGTGTTTCTCTCACATCAATGTTTCCCTCTTTCTCCCCTTCCTTCCCTCCTTTCCACTCTCTCTAAAAATCAATGGAGAAAAAACCTCACTCCTTGGGTGAGGATTTAAAAAAAGGTTAAATAGAACTCTGTCTTCTTGCTTTATAACTGGAAGTATCAGAAACCCGTGATCTGAAAAGACCATGAAACAATCAACCTAGTAGCAATGAACAAGTGAGCCCAGGGCCCAGATTGTGTCTAATAAATATGATTTTTCATTTGGAGAAATGGATGATTTCAGAGCTGGGATAGAAAAATGTACAAGATGAGCCCAGTGCAGTCTGTCATACCAAAAAGGAGAGCACTCAGAAACTATTAGAGCTGTGTCTACAGGATTTAGGACCCAATTTGAACAGATTACTATTGGACAAAGATGGGATAATCTGAGTATCAATAAAGATAATACCTACAATGGATTCAATCATATCAAATATGCTTAAATTCATGAGTTCACAATGATACAAACACATACAACTCATTGGCTACTTCTGGAGGATGCCAACTCAGTATTATAAAAAACTAGTAAATAATTGACAGAAATTAAGTATTTATTATTTATCCTGTCTTTCCTGAAAGAGCTATAATTTAAGGTAACGAAATTATAGAAGGGCAATGTCTCTTTTAGAAGCATTCCAGCTAATAAATGAGGTTAAAGAATTTATCCACATTTTCAATGTCTAATGAAATGATGACTAAGTTTGAGCCTCAAGGGCTGCTAACAAGAAGAAAAACTATTAATCCTCATCTGCCTAACTCACCTATGAAGTCTGTAGGGAGCGGCTATAGGATCAAGCCTCGGACTAACCTGTGGCAGGGCCCCAAACAAGTCCCAGCTTGGAGGGCAGAGCCAGAGCCCTCCTAGCATGATTAAGCTTGACCTTACTGTCCTCCCTTGTTCCTTCCTTGGTAGCTAATGGGCTGTGGGAGATGCAGCAAGTGCTGCCAAAACAAGGTGAAATTCGCAAGAACGCTGTAAACATGTTGACCACTTCCCTTGTTTTGCTTTGTGTGCTCTGACTAAAGCTTGGGCTTACAGGCTGTCACTGTGTCCTCATCCAGTGAACCTACCTAGCTAGCCCCAACTGTATTCTCTTTGTCTTCTTTAATCCTTCCCCGCCTCCCCCGCCCTCGCCCCCCCACTTCACCGCTGGCCATGCTGGACGCGGTTCAGAGTCTTCTTGCCAAAAAGTACATCAATCATGACTCTGATTACACCTTTACATCTAACTGATTAAATTTACAGTAAATTTTGTGTAAACCACAATGCATAATAAAATCCAGACTGTATGTAACTCCACAGGACAAACCATCAAGTTTCAGCAACAAATAAATTACAAGAGATAACAAAAGATGGAGGGGGAATAGATTAAAACAATGTATGGCTCTAACTGTTTGGCTCAGTGGATAGAGTGTTGGCCTGGGATAGAGCATCGGCCTGTGGTCTGAAGGGTCCCAGGTTTGATTCCGGTCAAGGGCATGTACCTTGGTTGTGGGCACATCCCCAGTAGTGAGTGTGCAGGAAGCAGCTGATCAATGTTCTCATCGATGCTTCTAACTCTCTATCCCTCTCCCTTCCTCTCTGTAAAAAATCAATAAAATATATTTAGGAAAAAAAAAAACAACAACAAAGTATGGCCCTAGCTGGTTTGGCTCAGTGGATAGAGTGTCGGCCTTCGGACTGAAGGGTCCCAGGTTCGATTCCAGTCAAGGGCACATCCCCAGGTTGCGGGCTCGATCCCCAGTAGGGGACGTGCAGGAGGCAGCTGATCAATGATTCTCATCATTGATGTTTCTATCTCTCTCTCCCTCTATGAAATACACACACACACACACACACACACACACACAATGTATGAACAGCATGTGGATCGGGATTCAAACTTAAAAAGAATTGAGACAATCAAGATTTTAACACTGGTTGGATATATGAAGGTAATAAGGAATTTCGGGATAGTGGTATTTGTGTTTATCTTTTTAAGAGGATGTATGTAGATACACATACTGAAATATTTAACAGTTAAAACGAATGGCATCTGGGTTTGGGGCTACAGATACAGCAAGATTAGCTATGAGTTAACAGTTGAAGCTGGATGAGGGTAAAGAGAGGCTTACACTATTCTCTGTGTATGTGAGAGACGAACTAAACATGTAAAAATAAAGTCCACTTAAGCTCTAGGTTTCACATAATAAAATGTCTTTTTAAAATTAACTGCCAAACCCTGGCTGGTGGCTCAGTGGTTAGAACATCCACCAACCACCCAAGGGTCCCGGGTTTGATTCCCAGTCAAGGGCACATGCCTGTGCTGCAGACTCCATCTGGGGAGGCAAACAATCCATGTCTCTCTCTCTCTCTCACATCTCTCCCTCCCCCCCTCTCTCTCTTTCACCCTCCCTCCCTCCCTTCTTCCCTTTCACTCTCTCTGAAAAACAATGTGGGGGGGGGGGGTAACAAAAAAAATTAAATTAGCCTAGTTAGGTGTTTTCTGCTTCAATACAATGACTACTTCAAATAACTAAAAACTAACCATCATCTGAACAAACAGCCTTTGCGGTACCATCAGTAAAACAAAATACCACCAAACAAAACCCAAGCAGTAATGAGGCAGCGTCAGAGAGTTAGTTACAGGAGAAAAGGGCCGGCCTGTAACTCACATTCTAAAAGGAAACTCGCCTGCGTGTTGGAAACGGGTCGAACGCGGACGCACGTCGTCCAGGAGCCTCTGAACCCAAAACCTCCACAAACCCCCACCACCACCCGCCCAGCCACACCGACTCCGAGGCGCCTTCCGACGGCCAGAGCCCGCCGCTTCCGCACCGACAACCTGACTGCTCCCATCTCCCCGTCGCCAGAACCAGCGGGGGTATTCAGATTTGGGATTTTAAAAAAATAAAGCAGAGAAACAACAATACTGGACACATCGCTGGCGTTTGCGGGACCTGCACCAATTCCCCGCGGGCCCGGCGCGCCCCGCTCTGGGGCGGGCTGAGCCCCCTCGAGGCTCCGTCCACCCGCCTGTCACCGGGGCCCGCGGACCTGCGCCGAGGAGACGCCGGGGCCTCCCGGCAGCCGACTTCCCGCCTCCACTGAGATCTCAGTCCCTTTCCACACGCGGAACCCCCTTTCTGCACAGGCCCGCAGCTCGGGGGGGGCCCCAGCCAGGCTCGCGGCCGCGGGGACCGGACCAGCGCGGTACGTGTTGGACCTCGCCGCCCGCCGCGCCAGGTTAGCCAGCCGTTACCCCGGCGGCGAGGCGAGAAGGGGACGCACCGCCTACCTCTTGACCGTCACGCGAGCAGGAGTAAGTGTGGGGAGAGGCCCCTGCGCCGCCCAGACACGAAGAAGAAGAAGCGAGGACGAGGCGAGGACGAGGTGAGGACGGCCCACGGCCCGCGGCGCAAAGTTACAGGACGACCTGTTCCCGTCTGCGGGCCGGACGCGCTTTCCCTCCCCGCAGACGCCGTCGCTGCAGAAGCCGGGGCCCGCGGGCAGGATGCGGACGCCGCGGACGCCAGCCTCCGGGCACCGAGGGGCGGGCCCAGCGGGCGGGCCGGAGCCGCCTCCTCTTCACGGACCCCAGCCCCACCGCGCAGCCCGGAAACCGGGGCCTGCGCGCCCCC